ACGCTCCCTAATTTGCATTTTTTAGTTCCCTGCCGACACCCGTGTTATTTCTTTTTACCCAATTAAAATTATAAATGGGTGTGCCTTTCAGGTGGTGGAACATCTCAAATGATAATACTACGGCTTGCCTGTGCCCGTGTGTAATTAAGAGCACAATGGTCACGCAATTTATTAAACGAGAGGGATGCGAAGCGAACAAGAGAGGAGCGTGCGTGCCCTCGTATTATATCATTGTTGATGGCTCCGGTTTCATCCCCTGCTCGCCCAGCTCGCGAAATTTATTTTATTTCCCGACTCAAAAACTCGCGTCACCGGTTAGCGTGGGTTGAGGCTTTTTGATGACAATTTTTGGCAGTTTTCGGCTCCCCAAAATGAAACTTTTACATCCGTTTGGACTTCATAAAACGTAGTCATGAAATTCCTAAATTTACCACAAATTGTTGGGCGAAGAATAAGATATAATAAAATTTAATGTAAATGGATGTGTAATAAAAAAAAATTTCAGTTCAATGATAAAATTTCATTTCTAACGGTTGCTTATTATAATATGGCTCCAAGTATAGCGTTTCGCAACAATATACGGGAGAAAATTTTGATTGTTGCTGAGCATTCCAGGCTACAACTTCACTTGTACCTAAAAATAAGCAGGGAACTCAAACAACAATCAAAGTATGCTTCAATTTTTATTAATATTGCATGGAAAAAAAACAAAATAAATTTGAAATTAAAATTAAAAAAAGATGTGATAAAATAAATTCTATTCAGTTAAATTTGTTAATATTTATTGACGTAATTAAAATTAATTAGTTCTTTGTTTGTCCACATTATACAATTCACATTGTTTACATTCGATTTATCAAACATTTTAACCTTTTTGTTACATTTAGAATGTAATTTTTGTTTTAAATTTATGAAACTCATTATTTCTTGTTTTTTTTTTTTTCAAGAAAAAACCTTTCATAGGCAAAGAACAATATGAATCAAATTGCATAATTTTGCCTATAAATGACATGAGTCTTTGGTTTAAATTTTAATTAGTCTAAAAATAACGAGAGCTTAAAATTTGTGTTTTTTTTTTATAAATTTATAACTCATTATCTATTGTTATCTTTCTTCTTCTTTTTAGTATAAATTTTCCAATTTCCAACAAAATTTGCATCACGAAACCAAATGAAAAATGTAAAAGCACAAAAGTCCTTGCATTTATTACCGCGTCAACTTTGCCTTTTCTAATTGGAAGCGACGCGTCGCTCACTTTTCCCTCGGCCGCAATCAGACTGGCGCGCGACGCTCTTGGGGTTGCTCGGGATTCTCTCTCTGCTGTTGCTTTTTATTATTCAGGTGACGGCAGCAGCTGTGCACGCAGCCAAATGAACACCCGCTCGTACCGTAAAGCGCAATTGGAGGCTGGAAATTATACGCGTGCTACACGAATTAGCATTCAAAACTCCTCGCTCAAATGCTGTCTGCTCCAATACAATGTGCGATGTCGAGAGCCGCGTCCATTGTTCGCACAGAGACAACCCGGCAAACCGCACGCAAAACTCACGTAAAATTATTATGAATCGGCGAATTGAATGAAAAAAAAATTATAATTGTAATTTGCAAAATTTGAATCGTCCAAAAAATGAAGCTTTCAACAAAATAATGAAAGTTTAAAAAAAAGTTTCATGAAGCCTTTTTGATAGTTGAAAAATTCTTGGTAGAAACAAACATTGAATTAATAATTTAAGTCAATAAATAAGTATGCAAAATGGCCAAAATTCATGTATCAATATTGTTGGTCATTTCGAGAAAGGTTTTTCCAATGCAAATCAGTGATAAAATCGATTTTTTAACTAAATTAAAGCAGATAATTAATTAAGGACTTCTTATTGACAAAGTCAAATCAAGTCCTTACAACAATAAAAAAAAAAAAAAAAAAATATATATATATAAACAGATTTTTGCTATTGTTGAAAGACAATTGGAAATTTTAATCACCATTGTTGTAAAGACTGAATTTGACTATGTCAATAAGGAGTCCTTAAATACAAAATACATAATTATTGATTTATTATTAATGTAAAAATTATTTCATTTTTTTTTTTAACTTTTTAAAGAAGGATGAAATTTCAAAATAATTAATATTAAAAATTAAAAGGACCCAAGAGGCAACATGAAGTCTGTTGATATTTTAAATTCTCCCTCTTTACTTAGGACACAAGACTCAAGCAACTCTAGGTTTTAAAGTATCAGCAGACCGAAATATAGGTCAGTTTTTGAGTTATTCGTTTTCATTTTTTTTTTCCTTTGAAACGAGGTTTGCCCAGTTTCAATTGTTGTAGTCTAGAGTGTTAGCTTACAATTTAAATTTAAATATTTTGTGATCAATGCTTCTTTAATATGCAATATCACGTCACAGAATGCAAATTAAGAACATTATTTTTTAAATTATTAAAAATATAACAAAATAAACTTGTGTTATTATTTCTAAAACTAATCATGATTTTTCTTTATATTATAAATGTTATTATATAAAAATATTTTTAACGTTTTTATTTTTAAAATTGATTTATTTTGTTTTTTATGTCACTACCTTGCCTTTACATTTATAAATAATTCTTTTTTTGCTGTTTTGGCAATATTTTTAATTAATATAAATCCTAAGTCATTAATAATCATCAAGATCATCATTGTATTATTCAAACATAACTGGAGAATTTGTACAGTTGTTAATGTTTAATAATTTAAATTCGTTAGGATTTCGTCTATAATACATTTAGTAAAATATGAAATAACTATTCAAATATTGTCACAAATGTGTGTGTTTATTTTTTAATTGCCCTGATTTAGAAATTGAAAACTTTCATCGTTTCACTACACTGATAGAATGATTGAAATTGTGTATTTTGATGCTTCTTTTTATCAGCAATTTAAAGATACTTCCAAGCTTATTTTAAATTTTCACGACATCATCATATTTACAATTTCGCTTCTGTATATTTTGATAAATTTTCGCAGCAAATCAATAATTTATCACTCTTCACTTCTGTGGCTGCAAAAACTTTGTTTCCCCGAAGGCAAGAGCTAATTAAAATTTTAAATTGATACCATTTCGCATGCGAATTTGTTTTGCGAGCAAACATTTCGCAGCAGCTTGAGAGTAAACAGCGGATCTGGGGGCGCAGAACGAAAACACAAAGTTTGAGGCGGAGGAAGAGGCTCTTTTCGCGATAAATTCGCCCGTTGCGTTTAATGACGCGGCCGCCGAGAGAATCTGTTCTGCGGCTCTTTTCCTTCTCTCTCGTCCAATATATATCAGAGATATTAGAGAAATTCCCCCGGCGAATAATTTAAGCCCTGCGCCTGCCTGGGAAAAAGTTGATTAAATTTCCTGAGTTCTGCGGTGATTCCGCTCGCTACGTTTTAATCGCGGCCCTTTCGCTCCGACATTCATTGCCCATTGCTCCATAAACGCGCATTTTATAATGCATTCCGCCCACCAACGCTGCATAATCTCACGCATGGGCAATTGCACTTTACTTTAGCTGCTTTTTAATTAAACCACTCACGAGTGCAATTAAGAAAAGCGAGGCCCGTTTAAGCGGATGAGCTCTTTGCATTGCTTCTTTTGTGCTCTGATCTATTTACTGAAACTTCGGTCTAATTAAGAATCTCAAAAGTGGAAATTATAAGGGTAGGAATGTCCTAAATTTGCTTCTTTTCTTTGGTGAGTTCATTAAAAAAAAAAAGAATGGCAGTTAAGCCAGCTTATATATTTAACTCGCTACAAATTGTAAAACATGGTGCAATTATGTTGCAAAATTATAATTCAAATAAAAATTTATGTTATACGTGTAGTTAAATGCTAACGGTAGAGGTGGATTTAATGAAAAAATAGAACCGGGCAAACCTTGTTGAAATAAAAAATGGAAAACTGACCCCAAAAGGCGAGCTGCGATCTGCTTTGGTATTTTAAAAACCTAGGTATTTGTCGCGTCCAAACTATAACTAATTGGGAGGAATTTATGAAAAATTCAAAATAAATTGGGAAATGTATAATTTTATAAACAAACATTGCAGATGAAATTATTATAATAGTAACTTTAACTTTTTTCGCCGGTTTCTTCTAAAATATTTCGCGACTCGGAACGTAATTTCACGGAAGGGCGATTAGTCGCAAGCTACGATTTTAATTGTTTCTCGTTTTTAGTGGTTTCTTTGGGTTTTGGATTTTCAAAAGTTGTAGAAATTAAAGCGACTGAGTCAGTCAATAGCTTCATCGTAACATTTAATTTTAGTTCCTTCCATGAAAGAAAATTCACCATCAAGTACTGAAAGCTCTGAATGCCTCCAGTTAATTAAAAATTGGTCGTTTTGTTATTAATTTAAAACTTAAAATTCATTTTCATATTTTCTCACATCTCAGAAAACACTCGTGGGATTACTTTCCCTAGCTATCTATTATTTGGACTGATGGACTATAATGAAATTTAATTGACACAATTCATCGTTATCATGAGAAATTAAAAATTTATTAAGTGCATAATTAAATTTTCGGTGGCAAGTAAATTTTAAAATGTAAATTCCGATTTATTTTTGATCAAATAGCGGGTTATTCCATAAATATGTTTCCCCCTTACTCAAAGTTTCATTTTATGAGCTTTATATTTTTTTACTTACACATGAATTATAAACAATGAGAAACTCTCATTTAGACTGTCCTAAAACTTAAGCAAAGATTAAAGAGATTTTTCATTCTGGGTATTCTGCGTAGTTTTACTTTAAACATAAAAATTTAAGGTTTCTTATAATAAAATAGAAGATTTTTCTGTGAATCAACCAGTTCAGAATAAAATTTAATAATTTTTTTTTCTTTTCATTTAGAAGAGTTAAACTTATAAACTAAAAGTTATCTCTGATACTTGGCTCCGCAGGCATGGCAATTTGATCACAATAATCTTATCTGCATATAAATTTGAGTAAAATTTCTAACACATTTTAATATTTTGTTGCAGGACTGCGGGTACACCAAACAAAACACCTTCAGGCACATCGTCAAATCTTGCAGGCACTTCCATTCCAGAGGGCAAATCGGCAGGAGCTACGTCACCGGCACCACAAAATAAGGCGCTGCAAAATGTCAAGAGTGAACACCCTTCGGTAAGAAAAGCACCCCCAATTCACCCTGCTTTACTTCCATTTCGTACATGCCTATATACAGAGGCCCCGTGTATGTACCTGCGCGACGGCGATGCTTAACTTTACACCGGCTTGCAGTTGATGTCTTGAATCTTAAGCAGGTGTTGCGAGATCCACCTTGCCTGCTGCGAAATTCAATATAATCAGCAGAGGGTCGGAATCATATTCGTCGCCCCTATTCATTTGACGAGAGCCCTTTATTAATTTGATTGGAGTCGTCTTGAATGACGCACAAGCTGAAAAAAATCCTCCATTAATTAAATACTGAACTTCTTTATAGCCTTTTAATTGAAACCTTCACGTTTTTAATAGGCTCGCAATTCCTGCTTAAATTCTGTACTGAACATAATTCTACAATTTCAGGTCGCACTTTTGGGAGCCGTAAAAGTTTAATTCTGACGATGATAAATTTCACAAGCCTCGCCCTCACTAACATTCAATTATCTCCTCCGAGTCCAATCAATGATTAAACACTGGTACACCTCATTAGTTTCCACTTCACAATTCCCACAAGGTGGAAATTTTCCCATCATTTCCTTTTAATTTATGCAGAGCGGAGTTACTTTGATTCTATCCTAGCTGAAAAAGCATGAAAAACTTTTCTCGCGCTCATTTTAATGCAGTTTTGTACTTCTTCCTCTTTTCTTGATTCATCTTGAGAGTTCGGAATTAAAATTACCATGTTGAATGATAATGAGGAATGTGCAATAACGTCATTACTCGAGAAGGAAAGCTTTTGCATTGCAAACATTGCATTAATGAGCTTCTTTGTTTGCACTTGTTTGAAATTTTTTTCATTCTTTATTAAACAGTACAACTTATTTCACATCCAACTAAATTCTTATATAGTGAATTATAAGAAAAAAAAACTACATAGAATTTAAATTTGATCATACCTTTAATTAAAAATTATTGAAATTAAAATTTGTGGTTTAATTTTCATAGTTTGGGTAAAAATCTAAAACACTTTTTTCCATATTTTGATCTTTCTGAAAATCAAAAGAACTTTTAACTATATTTTTTTATTTAGTTGTAACAATTTGAAGAAATTTGTACATATTTGAATTAACCCTTGGTCCAGCCCAGAGCGTCTCGTATCGATCACTCGCAGCCTGCGGACACAATGCGTATGCAACCAGGTGGTCGTTCTCGACTCACGCTCAGTCCCAAGGGGCCAACAATGCGCGGTTCAACAATATGCTCGCTGCTTTTCATTAAGTCCTTTTTTCTCACGTACCTCGTTTGCTCGTGTCTTCTTCGTCGCCCCATAATGGATAAATAAGTTAAACACGGACGGCGAGAAGAAAAGCAATAAATTGTGCCCCCACTTTTGCCTGCCGCCGCCTCAGCAGCTTCTCGTAGGTACGAAGCACCCTCTTGAGAGCAAGTTTGCTTCCGTGGGCGACACCCATTTCGTCCCCGAATGTTTGCTTAGGCGACCGATTAATCAACCCCTTTACAAACTTGCTTGCCTGCGAATAAATTTCTTCGGATTGTTGTGAGCCAGACAGATTTAATGTTTGTTTTGAAATTCTGGTGCTCCACCTCTGACATTCACGTCATGAAAGTTTGAACTGACTGAGTTTGAATTTTTTAGTTATTTAAATTACAATAAATTTGCAATTTCTATGAAACTTTTTACATTCCAGATTGAAATTATTCGCAATTGGTCCTTTAACCAAATTTTTATTGCTGTAATCGTTGCTAATTGAAAAAAAAAAATTTTAAAAATTTAATTCCATGGAATTCTGCTGCTAATTGTGAATGTAAAAAATGTCAACGCTCAAAACAGGAATAAAATGTAATTCATTAATTAATTTTAATTCTGTAAAAAAACCTAAAATTTGACCAGGATAATGTTTTGGCACTTTGTATGTCACGTAATTTGCTAACATTCAAATGCAGTGTTTTCTGATCTATAATTTATATAATGCAGTAATTTTATTTTCTCATTTTTTTTTTTACCGATTTATTTCATTAAAATGGCGTGCAGTTCAAGTGACCCTTTCTTTGTGCTGCTTTGTATGCAACAATGCCAAAAGCACACGTCCCTCGTCACTTTGGCTGTTCATTATTCATAATGGATCGCCCCGCGTGCGATTCGGTGCTGCGAAAATCCCTATTTCGGACACGCTAGCAAATTTCGGTCGTTTGAATAATTAATTGATTAATTGTAGGCACCGTGTCAGCGAAATACGGTGGCCAGCGCTAATCTGGCGACATATTAACGGCCAATTAAAAGTTGCTGGATCGAAACGCACGCGCCTTCTGATTTAATTGGTTTCGAGTGTTCAATTTAGGCAATTAAATCTGGATCGCATCTGCATTTTGCTGGTCCAGTGAAATTTCAATGTTTGTTTAAGGCATCAGCAACAGTTGCATGTAATGAAAAATTTTAACAAAATTGGTCATAATTTTTAAATAAAAAATAAAAATCAATTTATTATTTAGAGAAAAAGATGGAAAATCCTGCTGTTTAAAAAACATTTTTAAATTGAATTTTGATTAATATTTTATTCAAGTTTTCCATTTAAATAAATAGTTCTAAGTTGATTTTTTAACAGTTTTTCCTCCACTGAAAGAATCTTAGTATTTTTTTTTTGTCACCAAAAAGCGTTTTCTCACAGAAATTTGATGCCAAAATCATCAGATAGAAAGCCCTGCCAGCGGTTTGGCAAAACTTCCGGGCGTGCCGAGGCAAACAAAGCGGCATACGTGTGATTTATTCCATAAAACGTCCGTCCCACTTACCAAAATTAAAATCCCAGGCGCGCGAGTGACCCCGAGACGGCTGCTGCGTTCTCCGAAGGGTTAAGTCATTCATTCTTCCTCGCAATCTCCCTCGCTATTCACCCAGTGTCAACCTCCATCATCTTCCCTCTTTTCTCTCCGCTCTGCAAACATTATCATATTTGTGTGTCTACAAACAAAGGTCAGAAGATGAGATGTCCACCGCCCCGAACAATTGACCAACCCTCACAATTTTTTTTTTTTTTTACCTCTCACGTGAACAAACACACTCCATTTTTAATGTACAAACCCTCTCTTTTTCTGCGAGCAGGTTTTGATAATTCTTCGGACGTCACTCGAGAGACGAAATTCTAATTAAAATTTGCTTCTCCATTAATTTGGTCCCCATGTTCATCCGCTTACTAAACGCAAACGTCTGTTTTCTCGCTCGCTCCCAATCCGTGACGTCATCCCTTAATCGAAAAATAAAAATCAGACGGCGACGGAAGGGGTGAGTTAATTAACTTAGTCTCAAAGTACTGCCCGAAAAAAAATACATATAAAAAATTCCACACGCGCTCTTGCTAATTGAAATTCTTTTTCTCTTCTTTTCGCCGCCCCGTGATGAAATTGATGACTAAATTCCTATCTCTCTCACTTTTTAGGCGGAAGGGGTGAGTTTCTCTTCTCCTTTTTCTCTTTCCTTATCTATCTCTCTCTCGCTTGCTCATAAAAAATGTTCTCCGCTGATAAATTCTTCTTATTTTACGTTTGTGTATAAATGTGTGCGTCGCATTAAAGACATTCCCCGAGGACTCTTTATATTCATTATTTCTGCCGGCGAGGCTGTCAACGCAAAAAATGTTTCCCCTTAAAAGGTGCTCCGCGCGTTTTAAAATGTTTCGCTGACGTTTAAGATAAATATTTTCCTCTCGTACTCTTTGTGCGCGCCTACAACGCTTTCGCTTACTTTCCCTTTCGCGAGTGCCACTTTCCCGCCGCGGATCAGTTCCGTCTCGTTAAATAATCGATTCCGACTTCATTAAAATTGAGCTGCTTGAAAATGCAGCAGGCGCCGAGCGACTAGCGCACGTGCTACATGCCTAATGTAGGCGAGCTGTTGAAAGCTATTCGCGATTTCAAAAGAGATGCATGACGCCTATGGTGCTGATTTGCAGACATATGTAAATTTATATCCCGGGAATGACGTCAATTCCTCCCTTTGGGAAAAAGTTATTCAAAACTAGGTAAATTCTTGATTTATGAATCCAACTTTTGTTGCAAGTTGAAATAACCCTTTTTTAACTAGTACAAAGTTTAATCACAGAAATTGAATAAAAAATGTAAAATTTTTAGGAATGATATGAAATTTTGTACATTTGGGCCAAAATTATTAATAACTTTGGCCCAAATGTACAAAATTTAAATTTTTAATCAAGAATTTACCTACTTTTTAGAAACTTTTTCCCAAAAATGGGAAAATATGGGCATAATTTTGTATTAATATCAAATAATTTGATTGATTCTCAATTTTTTAAACCTGAAAAAATATTAAAAGTAATGAATTCAAAATTAATATTATTAATTTTTGTTTATTCTCCATTTAATACTTTTAAATATACAACATATTACATTTAATCAATTTGTTTTTAATAATGCAATCTGCATCAAAGAATGAAACAAAATACTGGAGAAAATCCGGCATAGAAAAAAAAACGGAATTTATGCCCTTCTGCATGTGATTTCTTTCACAAAAATTCATGGCGAATGTTTGGATTGCAATTGAACTTGTTTTATTAAGATATTAAATTTTAGACATTTATTTCCATAGTGAAAAAAAAGTTTTCAACAAGCAGGGTTTTGAATGAAAGAAGATAACCAAACATCCACAGAATTTGATATTTCCAGCGCAAATCTATTTTTAAATGACTTCTAAACTAAGGAAAAGTGAAATAAAAAAGTCTCTGTCTTCTGAATGAGAACAAGTCGAAGTTCTCCGAGCGCCCAATTTTTCTTCCCAAACGCTGCTCTCGCGATGTCGCAATAAACAACGGAACGTTCCAAACCCTTGCATTCTGGTCCTTTCGCCGAAACTTTTCATCTTGTTATTATGGCGACCCCTGGAAGCAAATAAAAACGTTGCGACGCAGCCGAGCGCCAAGAACGTATTCGTCCGAAGTCGCTGCTCCTTGAAGCAGATGTAATTATTTTTCCCATTAGACTTGCGGTCGGCTCTGTATAATAAACCGACGCTTTGTTCCCGGCCACAGCGTTGCAATTCCGCGGTTTCGAACGCGGCGGATCGAAATACTTGTTGCAAAATTTCGTCGCTCGGGTGTAACAAGATGGGTGCTACTTTTTATGAGTTACGCAGAACCCGCAATCTTATATTTTTAGCAGCCAACCGACCCTGCCGTAATAAGATAATTCAGGAATCCCTTTTTGAAATGAGACCGCGCATCTCCTTCTCTTTGTTTTTACGGCGCGGCTCTAAAATTTAAGACCTTCCTCTAGTGTAAGAAAGAAGATCTTCCGACCCGAAGGATGCTAATTTACTTTCTCCAAAAATCCAGTTCTAATATCGAAGATAAAAATCACTAAAATTTGTATAAAATTACCTTTTCAATGGGCCATTATTCAAATCGTCACGATTCTTTAGGGTGCAATAAAGAACCATTTTTCATTTCCCGGAAGTTGCATGTGGCAAATCACGAAGCCGAAATCCACTCTCAGCTGGCGTCTTTGCTTTTAGTGGAAACGGTAATGAAATTTGCCTCTTTCTAATGACGGAATGGACATGATGTGCACATTTTCCACCAGAGTGAAACCAAAAGAACGCCGAGTGTCGTTAAAAGCAAAGTTTCGCGCAGTTAATTGATTTCAGCAACTTGTTGGAAAGCGAGTTGTGTTATTCAAATTTATACTGTCGGAGTGAATCAATAATAGAATGTAACACGCAAAGCACGGACGGTGACTGCAAAGCTAAGTTGCTTTGATTCGGAATATATTAATATAATGGGCCAATTCAAAATGCTTAACAAATTTCATACCAAATTGATTGCGCGTTTTATTGAAGAAATAATATAGGTTTCCGTTGCTTTTTCAAATTGGGATAAAATTGAAAACTGAGATATCTTTTTTAGTTGCAGTTAATAACTTATAAAAATTAATATATTTTTAATCAATTTAGACAGTTGTGAACATTGAAAAAAATTAATTTCAGCCCAAATTTCCTTTTTTATCATTTCAATTCGTAATAAATTGTAGGAGTTTGCTATTTGGCAGCTTTGCACATTATTATCCAAAATATAACCAGGAATTTCTTTTCAGCTAAACCAAACATAAAATAAATTGGAGTTTAATATTTTTGTTCTGACGAAAGATATTTTTCATCCACTTTCTCTCCCTCGAACCACATAATATAAATGGAAATTCGTGAATGTTCCGTTCGCCACGCCCACTTGTCTCCGTCTCGAAACAACCCATAGTATGTAAATGCAAATCCATTCGATGTCGCAGTCGAGGAATCGAATTTCACCGTGGGCAGCGAGTCACGGAATCTCAATTTCCGCGGTTCAAACGTGGCCTCGCAACTGCCATTAATCATGCAGAAGTAAGCACAGGGCGGCTGGAATGACACCTTTTGCGAGGGAGCTTGGCTCTCTGTGCAGTGCGAACGAAAAGAGCAACAAGCGGATCAATAAAAGCGACCGCGACCAACCAACCCACCGGAAAAAATCCGCCCTGCCGCTCTTTCGCAGCTCATCCCATCGAGTGAATTATAATTATTGGCAGCGCGAAAGAGAATAATTCATTAGCGGCATCATTTCTCATGTCTAACGTCAGAAGCCGCTCATCTATCATCGCGCGCCCGCGAGACAGCGCATGATGATGTTGATGCTGCTGCTGATTACACGCACCATGTTGAGTTATACGAACACCGAGAGCAGGTGCTACTCCACGCTTATCAGCCGCATCCATCGCGACAATGCACACCACGCTGTCGTGTAATGTGTAACGTGCGACCTGCGAGTTTGCAAACATGCTACGTGATAGTTTGCAAGGCCAGATCAAGTTGTGATATAATTATATTATCATCTCTTTAGTTAAAACTATTTTTTTTAATATATTAAAAAAAATTTTAAATAAAAAACTATTTTATTTTATTGAATTTAATTTTGTTAAATTGTATTTTACTTTTTTCATTTTATTTTAATAATTTTATTTTTTGTTTATTATTTTATTTTATTTTATTAATAATAAGGGCGATCCGAAAGGCTAACTTGACCCAGGCCAAATTAACCTGCCATTCAATTTTGCTGGTGGGCTAAGTTAGCCCGGGGCTAAGTCAAGTTAGCCTGGGCCAAGTTAGGCTTTTGGAGCCCACCAGCAAAATTGAATGGCAGGTTAATTTAGCCTGGGTCAAGTTAGCCTTTTGCATCGCCCTCATTATTAATAAAATAGAAAAATATAATATTAAATAATAAATAAAAAATAAAATTATTAAAATAAAGTGAAAAGAGTAAAATACAATTTCAAAATTCAATAAAATAAAATAGTTCATTATATTTTATTATATAAAGTTGTTTAATTTGAAATCTTTAAACACTTATGGGGTTTTCTCTCAAGCATTGGAAAGAACAGAAAATTTTATGATTCATTGTGAAATGAAAATGAGGAATTAACCTTTGAATGGGTTGAAACAGGAATTAAAATTCACTTTTTGTGCTCCAAAATCATTGTTTGAAACTTGAGGATTTGTAGAAGTTTCAACTTGCTTATTTTGTCAAATTTGGTCAACACAGACTACCCTCATTTGCTTTTCGAGGGGAAAGATGAGCTTTGATTAACCCAATTTCCCTCCGTTGAATTTTTTGATCGCAATTTCAATTTCAGATATGAAATTTTGTGTTTTAAATTCAAATCATCACTTCTGGAGATGGCCAAATTTCAATTTATAATTTTTAGAATTTTTTTCTGGAAAAAAGATATATAAATCTGAAAGAACTGTTAATTAGCAGATGCAGTCGTTTAAATTATGAAAAACATCCAGCACCTTGCAGAAAATTCATTACAGTTTTATACAGCCCAGCGGATAACTCAAAAAGTTTTCACATTATGCAAAATGCGAGTGGTGTTGCCTCCCGCTGCTTTTAAAAAGTTTTGTTGTTACACGCAAATTCAATTTCGGGGAGCGCGCGCAGAGGCAGCACGCAAGGATTTCACAACTGGATCCTTTAAGCCGGATAGAAAATAATTCCAAAGGAAAATATATTCTAGCGAAAGAAGGAGAAAGTAGTGAACCCACTTTTAATTAAATTAAATCACTATGGAGCTGGAAATATTGCAAAAATTGAAGCTTCAATTTAATAGGAGCTGGAAATTTTATCCACGGCCCATCCGAAAGGTTTAATTAAATTTCACTAATTACACAGCAGCTGTTGAGCAAATCTGTGTGTTTCACATTACACGAGATAAAACACCAGTGTAAAATTTCCCGTCCGTCACATG